CCCTCCCACTGACACTTGCCTGCAGGCTTTATCATCTCTCACTTAAGTCACTGTCGCAGCCCCTCCCTGATGTCCCTGCATCCACCCTGTCCCATTTTACCATTTTGCATGCCGCAACCACAGGGATCCTTCCCAAGCGCAGATCTGAGCCAGGCACACAGGACTTAAAGCCGGTCAGAGGGCTCCTGCTCTTGGCTTCCAGTTCAAACTCGCCCCTGGCTTAGTGGCTTGTGATCTGGTGGCTGCCGCTCTCTCCAGACGCCCCCTTTGCGCTTGCCCTGTGCGCCTGCTCCAACCACATCGGCAGGGCGCACCTTCTTCCGATCCTTGCCGGGTTAACTGCTGTCTTCAGCTCTCAGCTGCGATATCGCCTCCCCAAGTTGGGGTCAGCACCTCTCCCACCCCGTGAATAGTATGATCATAGCCTGGAGTTGCAACCCTGTCTGCTCTTCTGTGGTCCCCACTAGGTTGCTGGCTCTGTAAGCGCAGGGTTTGGTCTGGGTCCTTCACCACTGAACCCTTGGAGCTTGGCCCAAGTATTCAATACGTCTTCGGGTGGATAAGCATCTTGTCCCTGCAAGGCCTGGTCTGGGCCATTTTGAAGGCGCTCTCGGTGGGTACCAAGCCTGTTCTGCTGCAGCTCATAAGCCATCCTTTTTCACGGGCCCTCTGCTGAGCGCAGTTGGGGAGGCAGCTCTCCCACCACAGCACACGGGACAAGGAAAGGGCCCCCAGGATCATCTTGCTCACCCCCTCCCATGGGCTGAAGAGCCCAGCACCCATCCCAGAAGGCTCTAGCCCAGTCATCAGACATGCCCAGGGATAAACAACGCCCAGCCCTACCCTGATAACACCATCTCTCCGGCCCAGCCAGCACAGCTGGCCTTTCACAGCTTAGCTCATTTGACTGGAGCCCAGTGCTAACAGAGCGTGGCCCTGGGACTTCGCTCTGTCCCCCAGAAGCACACAGCACGGGAACCTGGCCAGCATCCACTCGTGGGGGACAGGAGTCAGAGCAAGGGACAGAGAGGAAAGGGCTTCCATCCACACACCTATGACTTGGTCAGAACTCAGAGGATGTTGGAGGGTCACCCACCCCTAGTTCATGACCAACCCCTGACTCCACAGCCACATGGTCCCTTCCGATGCATCTCCTTAGGTGGGTTTTCAGGGACCCCATTCTAGCTGGACCTTTGACAGACTCCTCAATGCTCAGCAAACCTCTGGAGGCTTTGGGACACAGCACCCGCAGGATGGGGTCCCAAAGCCTGATGCTCTGGGACAACTCCCTGCCAACTTGGCCACTGCCTTGAGGAGGAGGGAGAGAGACCGGCCTCCACACATGGGGAGGGTGGGGTCCAGAGAAGCCCCCTCCTGCTATGGGGCCCAAACGGCATGCGCACTCTTGGCTCCCACGCCAGCCCGGTACACGTGCAGCAGTGCACACATACACGTGGCCCCGGGTGAGGATGAACTCTGGGCTCCTGTCACCTGCGACTCGTCCCCTGACTGTGCCAGCCGAGGCAACTCCACACACCAGAACCCAACCAGGACACTGGCAGACGTCTATAGCCACGAGGCCGCGGCATCAGCGGGTCTGTGTGGCAGAAAACGCCCCCTCGCTCCCCGCTGACCCATCGTACTGACTTGCTGTTCCCGTACCTTCTCTGAGGGTCTCAGAGCCGCCCTGAGAGAGCACAGCCCGGGCTAAATCATGCTGTGAGTCCCACCCCCCCAAACCCCTGGAACACACTCAGGCTCAAACAAACCCCAGGAACATCAGGGGGACTGGGGAGAGACTACGTAAAACCCACAAGCCCTGACCCTACGGGAAGCCACAAATGACCTACTCCTTGCCCCTCCCCCAACACACTCCCGGGTCTTCCCACAGGCCTGGCCACGTGTGACCAGTGACAGACACTGAGGTGGGAGCCGACCTCTGCTGCAGAGAGCTCGGGCCTCTGGGACTGGTCCCCGACCAGGCCTGCATCCAGTCACTGGGCACCCCAGAGGGGACTGAGCCCCACCACACCCAGCCGACCTGGCACTTGGGCCCGAGAAGGGGGAAGTCCTTGCTGTGGGGTGTCTTGGACGAATGGTAGGGCCAGTGCCTAATCAGTCTCTGTGTCCCTCACACCAACCACCGCAAGAAGTCAAGGCACAGCCGTGGCTGAGCGAACACAAACACACCACGAAGAGACCTCCTGTTTGTGCTTTTGACATGTTATCAGTTTTTATTTAAAAACATGCTAAAAACATGGTGTTCAAGAAAGCCAGAACCAGGATGAAGGAAGCGCACAGGTACGGCATCGCAAGCAGGAAAAGTGCATCCGAACCCAACAAGTGAGCTGGCCCTGCTCTCCCACGCTCCCAGGGCTGGGCAGGGTGTGGGCATGAGCCCCTGGCTCCGGCCCTCGGGGGCCCAGAAGGGGCAGGGAGGCCAGGACCTGCCAGGACCACTGCCTCGCTGAGGCGCAGAGGAACAAGATGGGAGTCCAGGACCACGGGAGGCCGGATGTGGAAGGGCGGAGGGACAAAGGGGGGCTCCAGGCACCCGGCACCCAGCTCCTGTCCTACACCAGGTCCCTGCTAGTTAGCACCTCCACCAGTGTGGGTGGGCAGGGGGTTGCAGAGGCGGGGACAGTCATTTCCAGCCATCTGGACTGTTTTGGGGCCACCAAAGCAAGGAGGGATGGCCACCCGGGTCCAAGTCAAACCAGAACATCTGCGTGAGGGTCTGGGGTGGGGTCAGCCACCTTCCTGGAGTGAGAGCCCATGATGTAGGCCCATGCTGGTGGGGAAAGGGGGGGACAGTGCTCCGGCTGGGCCGTGGAGGTGGAGACTTGCCCCCAACACCTGCTACAAGCCCCCCCCCAAGGGTAATTCTCAGTCCCTGCTCGCCCACCTCCTCTGCCAGATGGCTGCAGGAAAAGACCAGGTCTCTGGCTGGCACTCCCTTGAAGCTGTCTAAAGAACCTTGACCTTCTAAGTCGAATCTGTAAACTGCCTGCATCAGAGCTAACTGAACTCAGATTTTGGCCAGTGAAGCCCCAGGTGAGAGGGTTCATTCCGGTAACCCTGCCCCAGTGAGATCACAGTCAGGAGAAACTGAAAAGACATGGGGCCACGGGGCCACCACACAGACACCATGCGGCGTGGCCTTCTGTGGGCTGTGGGTACCACCCTGCAGGAAGGGCAAGGGGCTTGGAAGAGCACCCCCCACCACTCATGCCTTCCACCCAGGGGAGCGTCAAATGCCTACACAGCCAAGCACGGGGGGAGGCAGGAAGGCAGTCTGGGAGACTGTGGACAAGGCGGACAGGTGAGGGGAGAGGGTGCTGGCAGGGAGAAGGGGACTGCAGCCGAGGCTCCAGGGCCAGAGGACACCCCTGAAGCTCCAGAAATGTAAGATTGCCAGGGAGACTACACATTTCCCCCCCCAGGTGTTAGGCTTTTGCTATGGATTTGAACAAAAATTGAAATTGCATTGATAGGCATGAACGAACCTGCCCCATCCCACCCCCACCCCCAAGCATAAGGTCCTTATGCATCGAGTCCCACCAGGCGACTGTCCCCAGTGTGATGACATGTCTGCTCTGTGTCCTGCAGGGGGGAGGCCCCGGGGCGGCGGCTGCAGCTCCTAACCAGGAACACAGCAGCTCCAGAAGACCTGGGAGGGCAGTTTGGCTCACGCGTGTGCTTGCCACATCCTACACCCAAGGACCCACCTCCCCAGCTTCCCCAGGGGCACCTCTGCGCCTCTCTCAGGGGGATGGTCTTTACTCTCTCTGCCTGACTCGCTGAGACCACCCTACTCTCCACGCCCCACCCCCCAAACTCTGGAATCCTGAACACACCAAAAGTTCTGTACTTCTGGTCCCGACTGTATTTTACTTAGGCAAGTGGAGGTGTTGCTGGCTGGGGGGCCGGGTCTCAGCTTTTGGCACAGCCAAGTGGAGGCTGGAGAGGAGATATGGGCTTGGTGGGAAATCAAGAGACCGAGCCAAATGGTGCAGGAAAAAGGTGGATGCCCCACACAAGGCCCCGTTGGGGAAGGGCACCAACCCTAGCTGGCTCGTGGATAGCCTTTTTGAGCTCAGTCGCGTGAATTCTTTAGTTTTTTCAAACTGCAAAAACACTCCGTCAGGCCCGCGCTAAGTCCTATGGGGGTCCCTGCTGCAGTCAGATGCCCCACCCTGCCCGTTCAGCTCCTATTCCGTGACTTAGGCTGCCTGCTTCCTCGGGCAACTGTAGCAAGACCCAGTCTGTCCTCTCTGGGCTTCTCCTGGGGACCATGGAGGACATGAGTGCTACCACTCCACTATCAGTGAACCCCAAGGAAGGGGATGAGGGTCCTGGGGCCCGAGGGCCATCTTCCTCCCCACCGCCCCCCCCCCCAGCAGGGACTCTGCCGCCCAGTGAATGTGGCTGGATGTGGCTGGAATGATCATGGGCCCCAGCTCCACCTTCCCCTCCTGATGGTCACGGGTCCTCTGCCACTGTCTGAGCAGCAAAACCTAAGGACCGCTTCCCCTTCCAGAAGCAATGTGAGAAAGTGAGCAGCATCTGAACTAGAGAGGTATTTGTCCGAGAGTTTCTAGCAGGAATGTCTGTGAAAGTAACTGGGGTTTGCAGAACCTGTCGCGGGAATGCCCGCATGGGGCGGAAGGGGGAGCCTCCCATACCAGCAGAGGGCAGGAGGGAGGAGGAAGGGAAACAAGAAAGACTGCTCATCAGTGAAGAATAAGGACCCACAAGAGCCCTGGCCACGTTCCTGGGGAAGCACTGCGCCAGCCCCCCAGAGGACCCCCAGCTGCCGCCGGCACCAGCAAACGCCTCACCCCTGCACAGGATGCCCCCCGCCCCCGGCCTGCACCTCTTCCAGCCCCCCCGGGGCCATGGATGCCCAGCCCCCACCGCATGGCCCACTCTCCCTCCTGCTCAGCGCGTCCTGAGCCAGGGCCTGGCGCGCCTCACCGCGGGGCCTCCTGGGCATGGCACAGTGGTTTGTCCCGACTGAAACCTGACGGACATCCTCTCTCCCCACCCGTCCCCACCCTCAGGAAAAAAAAAAAAAAATCAAACCATTACAGAAATCAACGCAGTAAAAAGTTATAAATCAGAAAGCTAACCCTAAACTTATCTGAGAGATAATATTCCGGAATAACCATAACCAGAGTAAAATAAAATAAAAAAAGTTACACTGTAAGGTATAAAAAGCCTGGGCAAGATGCTCCCAGGGGCCTCGCCCAGAGGCTGTCGGACCCCCGCCCCCACCAGCCCTCCCCCGGGCGTGGCCGTGGACGCCAGTGGCCTCCACTGGGCAGTCTCTCCACCGGGGCGGGGGGGGAGCACTGTGCTCCCCACCCCCACGGGGACAAAGTGTCAGGGCGAGGAAGGGCAGGGGCAGAAATGCATCCGTGCTGGGGGCCTCCTGGAGCACGAACCCGGCCCACCCTGTCTTCTTTGGCAAATACACAGATGCAGGAATCCAGGCGCCCCCAGCACCCAAGGTCTGTGTGTGCCTCCTCCACACCTCCTCCTCCCTGGCCCTCCACCCACCAAGTAGGCTGAGGCGGGGTGGGCTGGGGGCCGGCGGGCTGCGGAGGTGGGTGCAGGGGTCAGCAGTCTGGAGAGCGCGGGCAGGCAACACAAAGCTCAAATCTTCTTCCCCGGCACAGTGTCCGTGTGGGGGCCGGGGTGCTCCCAGCCAGCCGGCTCAGGCGTCGTACTTTTTACCAGTCCGGTGGATGTGCTGGAAGAGGGTCATGGAGAAGGCCATGCCCAGAATCTGAAAGACAAGGGGAAGAGGGCCTGGGACGGCAGCCTGGGGTCTGCCACATGGCACCCAGAGCAAGTGGGGACAACCACTCGTGGGCTTGAAACGTGCCAGAAGGAGGTCACACACCCAGGAGCTCAGCCCCTCAGAGCCACTTGTACGGAATATCACACAGCCCGGAGGCTCAGAAATCTGCCTACTTCCAAGGGCTGTGGTGAGGACCAGACCCACAAAGGACCTGTCCTAAGTGGTAGCTACCAAGGAACTGAGGAGGGGGGACAGGAAGGTGGCAAGAACACCAAAGCCGTGCCGAGTCACCCCGCTCAGTTCTGGAGCACACAACATGAGGTCTTGGCGGCAGCAGGTGTGTCTTCACCACTGATGTGCCCAGGACAACATTCACGCTCACCTGTGTTCCCTCAACTCCTGAATCCTGACAGGGGTGCTGACCCTGAGCCGTGCAGGAGGCAGGAAGCAGCCAGCCTGCAGCCCCATGGGCACCACAGACAGCGGGCCGTGGGCTTGCACCATAAAGCAGGGGCCCAGGAGACACGGCACGGCCTGCACGGCTCTCGTGCTCAGTGTTTGGGCGTAACTGAAATGGGACCCTGTGGCTGGTTCTGGTCCAGGCCTCAACGCGTAACGCAGTCTGGCCCCCATGCACACATCTCTCATCAGAGCTCTGCCAAAATGACAGCAGGCTCGTCTGCTGAGCCTGAAAGCTCGCAGTGAAATCAGACACAGTCAGACCCGCAGGCCCCAGGGGTTAGGGCAAGAAAGATCACTTGATGCAGGATGTCAGCCACCCTGTCATGGACCGGCCAGCCAAGTTCGAGGGCTCCAAGGGGAATTGGGCACTGCAGACTCCTGCTTGGAGGAGCCATACATGAGTGGACAGAGAAGAGAGCCCAGGAAGTGCTCGCCCCAGAAAGGTCCAGAAGGGAGGCAGGGATTCCTTCCTTGTCCCTCTCCAGCATCCAGGGGAGAGCCTGCACAGCACAGCTGCCCACTGAGCGCTAAGAACACTAACACCTGTGGAGCTCTCCCCAGCTGCCCAGTCCTGCTCCACGCCCCGGGACATGGCTGGAGCTCACCTGATGCTAAGACGTGGCATGGGGATCATGCCCATTATACTGATGTGGAGATTAAGGCACAGAAGCTAGGCAGCCGCCCAGCTCACATACACATCATGGGCGACGCGGCCGGCCAGCTGCCCGCAGAGCGCAAGCCTGTGCACAGGCATGTTACCCGGGGACTCAGCTTTCATTCAGTTCAGTCCCGAGGTAAGTGTCCCTGGGAAGACGGGCAGGCGTGTTCTCAAGCAAACCCACCCAGGGACTCATGCGATGCCGGCACCGGGCCCAAGGCTCAGACGGAGTGCCAGGGAAGCCGGGCCCTACTGTGCCTGCCGGGCTGGGACAGGCACTGAAAGGGAAGGTCTCGGGGCAGAGCGGAGTGGGAATGCGTGTGGGCTGCCTGGGGCGGTTGGGTGTGTGTGTGCGCGCGCGTCTGTGTGTGCGTGTGCGTCTTGTGTGCGTGTGCATCTGTGTGTGCGTATGCATCTGTGTGTGCGTGTCTGTGTGTGCGTCTGTGTCTGTGTGTGTCTGTGTGCGTCTGTGTCTGTGTGTGTGTCTGTGTCTGTGCGTGTGTGCGTGTGTGTGTCTGTGTGCATGTGTGTGCGTCTGTGTGTGTGTGCCCGTCTGTGTGCGTGCGTGTCTCAGCTCCAGCCGGGGAGCTGCGAGGCTCTCACCTGCATGATAAGGATGCACATCCCCACCGTGCCAAGCACATGCTTGTTGTCATCAAACCACATCTTCACCTTCTCGTAGCAGCCCTGGCGAGCGGCGACCGCAGGTTAAGGCAGTGGCAGGACGGAGAGCGCCCCTTCCTGCCCAGCCGCCACCTCGCTTCCCCACCTGTGCCCCCACCCGCCCCTCGCCCCCGGGTTCGGCCTACAAGGCCCCACTGCACAGCCTCAGAGCCCCGTTCAACACGCACCCTCTGACACCCCCAACCGTGGGTCCACCCCACCGCCCCACCCCTGCAGGTGTCCTCGAGCCGCACTGTCCCCCCACAGGCTTCTGGGAGGCGGCCCGGGGGCAGCCGCGTCCAGCCTCACCGTTCTCCACAGAGGGGTGGTGGTGTTGCGCCCACAGCCCTGGGAGTTCTCCACACAGCAGCGGTCGGGCACCGTGTTCTCCCCCAGCACCGGGTACCAGTCCGTGTGGCCAGTGACGCCGCAGCAGCGCATCTGCAGGTGCCAGCCCACAGGGTCAGACGCCCGCAGCCTGTGGTCCTCCGGGCCTTCCTCACCTAGACCAACCCGGCCCCACGAACCTGCCTCCCTGCAGGTCAGCAAAGGAGACAAGGGCCTCCTTCTGGCCCCTTCTTTGGGCCTCAGCTGGACCCAGACGGGGAGTGACAGCCCCTCCCTGGAGGCCAGAGCGCAGAGTAGGTGGCGCCCACCTGCCTCTCTGAGCTGGGCACCGGGCCCCGGGCAGAAGCGCTCATCCCTCTGCTCACCCACCACCCCGCCCACTCTGCTTTGGGGACCGTCCCAAGCCGGCTGCCCCCCTCCCCAGGGCTTGACATGGGGCCTCTGGGCAGCACGAACTTGTTTTCCTCTTAGAACCGGGGCCCCCTTGCCTGAGCCACGATCAGGGAGGCAACCCTGTCGCTACAGTAAAGATGACCTGTCCTTCCTAGTTCCCTGTACCCATTTAAGGCACTCGGTCCTGTGTCCAGGTCCTGCTCACCCTCCTTCACTCCCCTGCTGTCCCTCTCCAGAGGCATCCCCTGTATGGTGTGCCACCCAGCAGCCCTTCCGGCCCCCTGGGCAGAATCTGAGCCCGCCCCCCACCCCCACCACCGGCACTTCACCTCGGCCTGGATGATGTTCCAGGCATTCTTCAGCCCCACGTTGTTCTCTGTGTTGTACAGCAGCAGGCCCTCTTTCAGGTCCTTCCTGGCGTTCTCATTCACCTGTCAGGTTGAGGGCAGACACCTGAATCCCTCCTCCAAGGGGTCAACACAACTCTGCTTGAATACTCCCAGTGATGGGGAGCTCACTAATGCCAGAGGCAGTCCATTGCCCCCGTGGGTGATTTAGAGGATTCTATTTCCCAAGACTACACAGGTAATAGGCCCCCCCGCCCCGCCCTGCAAACTCACCTTCCCCACGCTGGCCCCGCCCAAAGCCTTTCATCCAGGCCTCTCCTAGCTCCCCTGGTTCCACTCTCCCTCCTGCCTTCCTCAGAGGTCCTCCCTGTCAGTGCTTCTCGGGCTGGCCCTGCCCCAACCCCAGTGACACTCCATATGCCCCCTCCAGCTCATAAAGCTCACCTTGTCCATGTAGACAAAGAAGAGGATAAGCAAGATCAGCTCTGCTAGGAGGATGATCAACAGGACGATGAAAAACTGGAAAGAGAAAGCCTAGATGTAGGCACGCGGGAGTGGTCATGGCCGGGAATGGGGTGCACACAAGGACGGCGGTGGGGGGGTACAGGTGGCACCTACACAGGGCTTCCCAGGTGCGGGAGAGGCCAGCTACTTCTGAGGAATCCCCAGAGAGTAAGGGACGGAGATACAGGAGACAGCCAATCAAGGAGTGGGAGGGACAGCTAGGGCAGGGATGAGGGGTGTGGTCGGGCAAAGAACAGTCTACAAACAATTTCCCTAGGCTCAGGCTGGGCATCCAGGAGGCTGATGGTCGTCCCAGGCCTTGCCCGTCTCAGTGGCCCAAAAACAGGGAGATCAGAGCTCGGGGGCCGGGGGGGGTGGGGCTGGGGGGATATGGAGTCCAACTTACACTGAGGAGGAGGCACTTGTTTTCCTTGATGGCCCCCAGGCAGCCGAGGAAGCCCGTCACCATGACAATGGTGCCAATGGCGATGACTAGGTTGGCTGCAGACAGCGAGGGGAAGCTGGGGGAGAAGGTGGCAAAGTTGCCTTGGGACACGGATAGCCAAATGCCCACTCCAAGCAGCCCACAGCCACAGAGCTGGAGAGAAAGGAAAGCCATTAGATCAGCACTGCTTCTGGGCTCATCTCCACGGCCCCTGAAGGCTGCATGGCCCCACCCCTCACTCTGAGACTGGGAAAGGGGGGGATGGGGCTGCAGGTCAGACAGGGCCACGGGCCCACATCACGTCGGCTGTGTGACCTCAGCCTCTCCATGCCTCAGTTGGCCCGTCTGGCAAATGGCATTATACTAGCTTCACAAACCTCCTACAGTCGCTCTGAGCATCTATTTTTAAAAGACACAGGCAGAACCCTGTAACAGCTACAGAAGGTCCCAGACCCACACAGGGGGTGGCGGTTCTTCCCCTTGTCAGGGGAGAGGCCCCAGCATTCAGGAATCCGGCAGGAGGGCACAGTGGACAGTGAAAGTGAGTAAGGACTTGTCTCGGGGGCCGCGAAGAATCTCAGAGCCAGACCCTCGGGCGCCTGTGCCCCACTGCCCTGCCCACATGCCCGTGCTCTCCGGAGCCCAGGGAACAAGTTTCCCACAGATGGGGGAGAAGGAAACTCGCGAGTCCATCACTGCCTTGGCCATCCATCCACGTGAGCCAGCAGCCAGAGCTCCGGACCTGAAAACCAACTCTCCTCCACGGCGCCCCCGGGGCTGCGACGCCCGCGGCTTCACCTGGGGACGCTCCACTTTCGTTGGCTGCGCATCTGCACAGCTGCCTTCTTTTATGCTCCATATAGCCGACGCTCCCCCCACCCCATCCCTCCGGCAGCTCCGAGGAAGTATGTGGAGTCTGTATGTGGAGTCTGCGGGGCCAATCCATCAGTCAGCTGATATTTACTGAGTACCAGCAGCCTGCAGCGTCCCGGGCCAAAAGAGCCACAACCTCTTCAGCGACCTGCCTTCCTGGGACCTCCGCTCTGGCTGGACAGGAGCAATGAAAAAGCAGCATCGACCCCACGTGGTATACACCGGTGCCAAATAGTACAGGAGTTGCAAGGAGCCAACCACTGTCCTGGCTCGTGATGTCCTTTGGAGGAGGCAGTCAGTCCCCAAAGGACAGGTGGACTTGGGGCAGGTGGGGGACAAGAACATTCCAGGCAGGGTGAAAGCAGACACGCAAGGGCTTGGCGGGGCACAAACATGGATCTGACACCCGGCTCCAGCTTTTCCTGGTGGTGTGACCTTGCAAACTCCTGGTATGCCCAATGAGAATAATATCGCCCGCCTTCCGGATTGCTGGGAGACTTTAAATGGAAGAAAGCATGGGAAGTGGGTGGCCAGCACCAGGTGCCGGTCTCGGAAAGGCATTGACTGAGCAGCTCCTAGATGCCAGGAGCTGTGCTGTGACCCCAGGAATCGAGCACACCCCTGCTCTCGAGCTGCTCTAGCTCCAGAAAGGAGACCGCGAAGGATCAGCAAAGACAAGGCGGCCCACGAGTAGGCAGAGAGTGGTTCTCGCATGCGTGCAGGGAAGGTCAGGGGGAGAGGCTGCCCGAGGAGGTGGCATTTTCTTCCCTCATTCAGTCCACACACCCAAACTGAGCCCCCATTTAGTAAGTGCCAGGGCCTGTTCTGAGTGCTGGGGTGGGGGGGGGCGCGGTGAGCAGCGCGGGCAAACCGCCCCTCCCCCCACGAACAGGCTATTCTTATAGGGGACATAATGTTCCATAAGCACACAAGTAGCACAATTTCAGGTGATGGCATGTGCCATGAAGAAAAATAAGGATGGCAAGGAGTTAGAAAGTATCCGGGGACAGGGTAGTCACAGAAGGCCTCTAAGAAAGGTGGCATTGAAGTAAGGACCCAAATGAAGAGGGGACGTGGTGGAAGAATGTTCTAGATAGAGGGAAAAGCACGTGCAAAAGCCCTGAGGTGGGAAGGAGGCTGGCCAACCCCGGGAGGAGCAAGCTGCTCGTGTGGCTGCAACAGAGTGAAGGAGGTGACACGTGGCAGGGGACAGATGGGACAAGACCTAGCAGGCATCAGTAAAGACAAGGTGGGGGTGTTCTTAGCGCGCTGGGAAGCCCCAAGGGCTAGAGAGTGACATGATGTGTGTTTCCAATAGATCACTCTGGCTGATGTTCAGAGACGGCCCCCACAGGGTAATGGGGAAAGCCGGGAGAGCAACTGGGAGGCCGTGGCAGGGATCAGGCACGAGCTGGTGGTGACCTTCACCAGACAGCTCTGGAGGACCAGTGAGCAGCAGTACAATGAGGTCTATTTATGACGCAGGCTTGACAGGACTTGCTGGGCTTTAAAAGATGAGATTTGCATAGATGAGGAACCAGAAAGGTGATCCAGGCTGTGCATGACAAAAAAAGGGGGGGGTATTCCCATGCATTACTAAAGCAGAGATGATTCAAGCAGCCAGGGAGGAGTGGGAATAAGTGGGGCAGCTTCCTGGGTTGCCCACGCCGTGGAGTGGTCCTGTGCGCCCTGTACCTGGAAGCAGTCCCAGTGGAACTACGTCAAGGCTCCCAAGGTATGGGCACACTTGGCCGAGAGCATCCACCCAATCAATGGGCATCCACCGAGCTTTGCAGGGGGAATGGGTGCCACCACCCCCGTAACCACTAGGTGGCGCTCCAGGCCGGGTCAGAAGCTCTGAAACTTCCATCCAACTTCTCATACTGACTTTTTTCAATCTGGTCAGTTTCTATACTGCCGTCTCAATTTTTCTTTCATTAATCATACCATGGAAATTCATGATCTTCATGCTGAAGATTTATGGCTCTAAAAGCCAGAGCCTGCAATGATTGAGAGGAAACCCCAAGGCTGCCAGGTCACTCCTTGCAGATAGAGGACCCTGCTAAAGACACCTGGCTTTGGGACCCCCGGAGCTGCAGGATGCCCCTACCACCCTGCGGTGGGGACCCTGGGGCCCCCAGGACCCTCCCTGGGCCTGGGAAAATTTTCACAGCACACCTTTCCCCGGAAACCAGTTCCCACGGGGAGTGGGTCCAGCAGGGGCCCCTCTATACCTCCATTCCCCATCTCCCTCCCAGGGAGAACTGCCATGAAGTCCAAGAGCCTCTATACGGGAAAACCTCAACAGCTCAGAAACTCCCAGGACCTGGTCATCTCTCTCAAAACAGCTCTCTGACTTCATGCTCCACATTCTTTGACTTGGTCTGCAAGCTTCCCAAAGCCCTGCCCAGGAGCCTCCTTCCAGGAGAAGAGCTTGTCGCTCTGGCCCCATTCCTGCGCCCTCTCACTCCGTCTGAGCTCCCACCATGCCCCGGGCTAGATCCCAGGTGAGACCCACTGCCTACAGCTGGGGCAGTCCCCACACACTGCCTGCACTTAAGTCCTGGGGTGTAGGGGGCATCACACACAATGCTGAGTGAATGTTGCCCCTGCAGTGCAATTGGGGGGGCCTCCTGCACACCCCACTGCCACTCTTCCATACCCTGCGGGCTCTCCTACTGAGAAAAAGCCCCTGCTCCCCTCTCAGACCCACGAGCAGAGCCTCCGGGCAGGAAGAAAACCGAAACAATCAGGCCCTAAGTTCACAGATAAGGACAGCAAGAGGGGACAGGAAGCCGTCCCACTGCCAGGCTGGGCCCACACCTGGATTCCTGGCCTTGGGTGCGGGGCCTCTCCCACACCCTCCTGCTAGGAGACCGTTGAGTGCACGCTGAGCCTGGGCCGACAGGTGGAACGCGCTGTCTTGGCCCCTGCCTCACGCCCAGGTCCCAACCACGCTCTCCTTCCTGCCTCTGGCCTGTTTCTCAGCCCAGCCTGCACAGAGCTGCCCGAATCCTTTTTCCAAGACGCTGCTTTGATCATGCTGCTCCCCTGTGAGACCTTACAATTCTTTAGCTCTCTGACGCCCAATTTCTTTTAAAATGTAGGCTTTGGGCTAGAGAATTTCTCAGGTCCCTGCCAGCATGGGCTTAGCCAAGCCTGAGACCTGGTGCTGTCACATCCCTGCCCAGTGGTTCTCAGCCCAGAGCGATTTTGCTCCTCTGGGGACATCTGGCAACGTCTAGGGACATTTTTGCTTCTCACAACTTGGAGTAGGGAGCTCCTACTGACATCTGAGTGAGTAAAGGCCAGGGTTACTGCCAAACGACCTACAACGCACAGGACAGTCCCTCACCACAAAGAACTATGCAGCCCCAAATGTGGAGAGAAGTCAAGAAACCCTGCCCTAGCCCCATCCCCATGCCAGGCGTCCACCCTCTGGCTATCGCCTCAAGAAGACAGCCATCACAGAAAGAACCTGGTGTGTTCCCTCCAGGGCTGGAGCAGCGTCCCGGTTCTGAAAGGGACAATAAACCATGGGAGGAGTGAAGAGCTAAAAGACTCCATCTGGGGAGCTGGTGAGAACCCCGGGGCAGGAGCAGAGAAGAGGCCGTTGTCTGATGCATGGCACCGGGCAGGAGGGAGGAGCTGACGGAAGAACAGGTTTGCTGGGCAGGAGGGCAAGAAGACAGGAAGCAGACCAGGCCAGAGCAAGGGGCTGGGGAGGGTGCGGCAGGAATGGGGGAAGGAGAGCAGCCCCACACGGAAAGTGCCCCACACAGGAAGGAGACAAGGTCTGCAGTGGCACAGCCAAAGTTCAGTGCCAGAGAACTTAGCTGGTGGCCTTCGGGAAAATTCCCTTCCAAAACCCGAGGGCTGTCTCAGCCGAGAGGACCGAGCCACAGTCAAACCCAAGGCAGGAAGAGACTCCGGGGTGAGGCAGGGTGACTCAGAACCAGGATCTGGCCAAGGTTAGCACCGACTGACCCAAGGTCACCAGCCAACATGGTGCGGTCCAGGCCTGGTCAGTAGTCCTCTCCAGCCGGCGAGGCCCAGCGCATGTCCTGACTACCGAGCTTCGTGCTCCCTACCCCTGCCCCAACTGAGGACATTTCTAAGTGTTTTCAATTCCATGCCCCAAATAAATCCACATCCAAATGTGAGAAAACAAGTTCTTACCCTTGCATTTGCCCGAGGCCTGGATCTCCATGAGGGCAGGGAGTCTATTTGGGTTCATTGCTAAATCCCCAAAGCCTAGAACAGTACCTCATCCCTGGCAA